GCGGCCCCTCCGCACACTGGCGCATATCCACGCCCAGCTGCGGGCCTGTGTGAGTGCCCGGGTCCCAGGGCCCCTCATGGGCTCTGAACGCCACCCTTCCCTGTGTGCAGTCCCAGCTCACAGCGCCCTCTCTCCCCCCAGGTCCCAGCTGGGCCCACAGCAGCCCCCAGGCCCCGCAGCCACCTCCTGTCTCACTGGCTGCAGAGGCTCAACCAGGCCACCAAGAAGGTGAGGGAGCAGGAGGGTCGGTGTCAGGGGCATCGGGGAACCAGACTGTGGGCAGCCCCCGAGTCCTCTCTCTGTCCCCGCAGGAGTCCCCTGGCTGCCTCCAGGCTTCTGTCATCTCCAACCTCTTCCGCCTGCTCACCCGGGACCTGAGATGTGTGGCCAGGCCAGACCTGTGTGCCTGAACCCTCGGCCTCTCCTGCATCCTGCCACAGAAGCCTGCATCTCACTTCTGCCTCCCCCTCTTGCCTTAACTTATTGCCACCCGATCACTATTTATTTACTTGTTTGTCTGTTGGGTTCTCAAACTCACATCCAATGAAAGTTTATTTTTGTACCTTTGTAAACCTTGTTCAAATAAACATTGAGAAGAGCACTTTGTATCCTGACCCTTTGTACGGGTAGGTGTGGCTTTCTTTGTGCCTATAACACCCAAAGGCCATGCGGCCCTCCCGGAGCTGGTGAGTGTCGCTCCTGGGCTGCGGGCTCCCTGTCAGGCAGTGCCAGCCCCTTCTCCTGCTTCCAGACACGAACCCAAGGTTCACCAGCTGGCCCTGATGGGAGGAAGCTTCTTCCAAGGGGGTCTTGGCTCCTGCTCTCCGCTCCTCTGCTCCAGCTCAGGGCCCTGTGTCCCTCTGCAATGCAGACCTCCTTGCTCTCACGATCCTGCTTCTGTCCTTTTCCTGGACGCCTCTCAGAGCCTGTAGCAGCGCTCTGACCCTGTACTCCCCGTGCCCCATGTCCACTGTGGAATTGATCGGGGCCTCTCCACAACCCAAGGCACTGTCCCTACCTGAAGCCAAAAACCTTCATGATATCTGCAAGTCCCTGTGCCACACACTGTAAGACACACACGGCTCCCAGGCCCTGTGGTAGGGTGACATATTCGGGGGGGTGGCTCAGCCCAGCACCCTGATAGCTCAACTGTGTCCGAGTGTGCACAGGACTGTGCATCCTTGCTCACTTGTGACTTTTGTTTCCGGCCCCGCTGAAGATGTGTGAGGGAATCAAGGGAAAGTCTCTTCTGCAGCCCGCTTTCACATTCCTTCCACCTCAACTGAACTCCCACAGGATCACAGGGATTCTGTCTTGGGGTGACTCAGACCTCATCCTCGAGTGATCTGAACCTCTTGTCAGCTTCACCCCGAGACCCAGTCACTGGCTGCTCCCATCCTAGATATATTTTCACTACCCTGGGCAGCACACTGACTGAAGATGTCCCTGTCCATCCCTCTCCTGCTGGCCAAATTCTCCCTCCCGGGGACTGAAGCCCCTCCTCACCTGCTGACCAGGGCCGGCTGTGCCTGACACGGTGTGGCCTCCTCTCCCCACTTGTTGGTCCCCTGGCAGAGGAACACAGCTCCTCGGTGAGAATCAAAAGCTCGGGGTCATTGGCATTCTTGCCTTGGGCAGGGTGCACAGGGTCTTCCTCTGGGCACCAGGGCCTCTCTGTGAGCACAGCCGGACGCTGGGGAACGAAGAACCAGTGTGTCAGGGGGCATTTCCACCCCACAGCCCTCTGCTGCTGGGTGCCCTTCAACTCCGGAAGTGCTGGGTCTCGTTTTGGGGTGGTCATTTGGCAGCACCTGGCCCTGCACTTCTCCCTGGTGACCCAGCAGCTGGCTGTGCTCTGCTGTGTGCTTTGTGTAGCTCCTTGACCTTTTTCCTCACCCTCAGACTACCCTGGGCTGCTCTGTTGCAGTCTCTGCTACCTCCAGGGCCTGCCCTGGACAGACTCCTCTGCCTGGCAGGTCTTGTGGGCTCAATGGGTTCATGTTTTAGAGCTGCTACACTGCAGCCTGGCCTGCTGATGGCTCCCACTCTGTCCTCATCCAACGTCATGGTTATGGCTTTGGAGTCTGTCTGAGCACAGACTTTACCATGTGTCTGGGCCTCTCTCACACGTGGCAGCTATGAGTTGCAATAATTTAATTGGGGAGGTGCCTGCCATACCCCAGAACTCAGGTCCCTAAACACTTCTTTCCCTCATGGGACAAGTGACCAAGTCCTTAAAGGTGCTGTCGCCTCCCTTCCGGAGTTGGGACTTCCAGTGTCCTTGCCAGTTCTTCACCGTGCCTGGGACTAGCAGCTGACATGAAGGAGTGGACCCCAGGGCCTTCCTGGGAAGACCCAGATGGTCTTCTGGAGAGGCGATTTTTCCAACAGGGGGCAGCACTGCTCACGTAGCCCAGGTCCTCCATGAGCACCTGGCCAGCCTCAGTCAGTGTCGCCTACTCTGATCTCCTGGTAGGCACAGTGACTGCCTTTGCCAGATCCAGGGCCAGATATTTCAGTGATAGGACCTGTGACATCCTGTCTAGCAAAGACGTTTGTCCCACCCAGCTGTACAGTTTGAGCCAACACTGTCTTACACTGTCACCCATCTTGTTCTTTGCTTTTCTTTTCTTTGTCCTTCTCCTTCTCCTTCTCTTCCTCTTCTTTCTTTCTCCCACCCCGTGTGCGTGTGTGTGTGTGTGTGTGTGTGTGTGTGTGTGTGTGTGTGTATGATCCTGGAAATGTACCCCAGGGTCTAACACTTGCTAGTTAAGTGCTGTCCCACTGATCTATGTACCACGCCAGGTTTAGTTTGAAACAGACTCACTAAATTCCCCAGGATGGCCTCAGACTTGGAATCCTCCTGCCTCAGCATCCCAGAGTGATCAGATTCCAATCTATAGGACCAGGCCAGGTCCATGTGGTTTTGGAATGGGTAGGAGAGGGGAATGACTTGGGAATGTGCCGTGTGCCGGCAGCCCTACGTGCTTGAACCTTGGAGATTCACACAAACGCCCACCATCAGGCAAAGGCCTGGAACATACGATTCCTTTTCCTATCACGGCGGAGGAGGCTCGGCCAGGTCAGTGGTCTCTCCTGGGGCCTCCTCTGCTGCGGTAGCTCTGTGGGCCCCACCAGGGCCAGGACTCCATTTACTGCTGGAGTCCTGATGGCCTCAAGAGGGCCCGAGGGAGCATGTGTGTCCCCAGCATGGATATTAACTCAGGGCTGCTGTCCACTAATTTCCAAAGAGCCTCTGGCCAGTTTCCCATGGGCAGTGATGGCCAGTTTTATGTCTTGTTTTGGTTTTGTTTTTTAGTATGGGGGATCCAACTCAGGCCCTTGTGTGTGTGAGGCAGATGGCGGAACCGCTGAGCTACATCCCCAGCTGATGGCCAGTTATTTGTTCACAACCGCTGTCTTGGTCGAAAAGCTCTGATCAGCAGTACTTGCCAATTTCCATGGTGTAAACCCACCCTGTGGCCAATTTCCAGCTGCCAGTGCGATGTATCTACCCACAGAATCTGGAAGACTACAAAATAGCACATCAGCAGGACGCGGTTCTGTTTTTTCTTTTTATTACTGTTCATTAAGTTTACTGGTACATTTTAGGTACGCAGTATGATAAACTCATCACTGGGAACTTGTACTTTACATGAGGTATCTTGGTTCTTTTTTCCCCACTCCCCTGACCTCCCTTCAACCCCTCCCCCCCTCCCTATTCACCAAGACTTTGTTTCCATTTTTCCTTTTCTCATAGTTTTTCCTTTCCCCTACTCTTCCCACTTTCCCTTCCCCTTTAGATGTTTTCTTCCTGTTTCACATTATCTATTATACATTTTTCTCCTTATTTACACTTTCAGTTTCTCACACCAGAAGGTACACACAGTAGTCCTAACGTTTTCGATTCCTAGGGATATGGTCACGGTGTAGTACAGGCAATGTAGAAGTGGCAGACAGTAAATAAGTTTGGTTTTAAGCCCTAGGTTGGGTTTCTATGGGCCTGGAAACCTAGCTGTCAACGTAACAACCTCACCTCTGCCCACCTTTGGTGGAGCACCCGCGGTCCCGTCCTTCCACTCCTGATGTCCCCTGGCCCCGGGCACACAATTTGTCCCACCACGGCACACCCAGCGTCCATTGCCCTGCTCTCCGTGGCAGGTGCAGCCTGTCCTCAGTTCGGCGTCACGGGAGTGTGCTCGTCATTTGAGTGGCCCTCGGGGGGACGCTGTCGTTGCAGGCTGACCAGAAGGAAGGCTTCACGTTGGGGACTATTTCAGAGTTTTCAGTCCATGGCCGCCTGGCCCGGTTGACTTCAGGCCTGCAGCACGGGTGCTTGTGGAGGAAAAGCTGCTGGCCTCACAGTGGCCAGGCCCCAAGCAGAGCCGCGAGGAGAGGCCAGGCTTCCTGGATTCCCTGGAGCACAGCCCTGAGGACCTGACCTTCTCCTCCCCGGCCATCTGCGAGAGGGTCCACGGCCTCTGAACGTCATGGGCTCAGAACCAAGCCTTCAACACCTGAACTGAGAGGAGAGGTTTCAGACCCAACCCGCCAAGCAGTGAGTCCACCTGCCCACTGCGCAGCTGCAGCTCCAGGCCCACCCTGGGGCCAGCCGCTCCCAGGCCCGGCCATGCCCTTCCCACATGTTCCCATCCTCATTTATTTCTGCAAAATCTGCAGAACAAAGTGTTTCTCCATCCTGTTTCTCGCCAGGAGCCTCCACATTGCAGAAGCGGGGGAGAAGCCCACTCGTCCTGCCTCTGCACGCAGGTGTCCAAGGCTTGGCAGGGACTGTGGAGCCCAAGCTTCACACACAGAGCCCGGACAGACGAGCCAAAGCCACTGAGCAGAATTCCTCACTGTGTCCTCGCCCAAGGTGTGGGGCCTGGTTGGCAGGGCCCACTCTGTCGCCCCGGCCCCCGCTCTGCCCAGCCTCGGCTGCTCAAGGCCCCTGGCCAGGTGTTTGCACCCACCTCCACTGAGGGCCTCTTCAGGGCCGTGCAAAGCCCCCGCATCCTTCTCAGCACCAGAGAGGGGCCCTGGGGCAGAACAATCTGATTGTTTCCCCGTACTGTGGTAACTTCACTGCTTCTCCATTACTGCATTACGTGAGACGTCTCCTGTGCCGCTTTAATAACCACTGGAACCGAGAGGTGCAGAGGGGCAGGATGGAGATTGCAGGTCTCCAGCGGGGAAGGGCACGAGGGTTTGTGTCTGGGAGGCCTTTGAGTCAGGTCCCAAGGTGGGCTGACACTGCTGGGTGTTCCCCGCATTGTAACAGATGTGCGGTCAGCTGAATAAAGGCCCCACAGATGTTCCTAGTGCCTGTGCCCTGTGCATTTTTCACCTTTACTGGCAGAAGGGACCCGGGAATAGGGCTGAAGTGAGTGGAGCACGGGGCCCTGGGTGACCTGGTGGACCCAGTGCCCTCAGAGGGCCTCATGGGGGAGGCAGGGGCAGCATCAGGCTGGGGAATGTGGCAGGGGC